CGCTTTAGTATATTGCTGGACCAAGGTTCCGAGCGTAGAATCGAATCTGCTCTTTTATCCGCTAACAGATCAGTAGGCTCTGACAACCTCCTCTCTTCTGCTAAGGCATGAAAAAAGGAAACTCTAAAGTAAAGAAGGAATGCTCGGCCTACGCCTAGCTTGAAGTTTGATCTTTTGCTATCAATTTGGACAGCGCTATGCTTCTACCTATTGAGAAAAACGCATAAAGGATACCAATACATGGGCAGCCATTGTAGTTACAACTCCGTGATTGTACTGTGCTGTTTGAGCACCACTATTCTTTCTTTCATTGAATCGATAGCTTCATAGCCTTCCTTAGTCGATCCACGAATTTTTTCAAAAATTGGTATTAGATCTTTCTTTCGGATTTTTTTTCATATAGAGAAGTTAACAATCTCTAGGGATTTAGAGAGCCCTTTTTAGAGAGATAAAGACTTCAAGACTAATCCTGTCATCCCTGTCTTAGTATTAGTAGCGACTGTACGGCTATTAGATAGACCAATAAATAAGTCCTTCTATGATACGCATCCGGCTTCTCTCCCGCCTTGCATTATTGTGGTAGTTAGGCTTTGAACTGAACATCTAATTGGTGGGCTTAGTTAAGTGCGGCCTGGCCTCATAACGTGTTGTTGATCCTAAATGACTGAGCTCTTCTTAAGAAAAAAAAGAAGCAATCGGCAGTTCCACAAGATGATCTGATCTTTGAGTTAGGATCCTTCGTTTGAATGAGGCTTGGAGGCTTAAGGATCATGGCATATGTTCCATGCTAATAAGTTTCGTTCTCCCCGGTAATGAAGGATAGGAATATCAATCAACAGGCAAGAGTGAAAGGTTCTTAGAAGGCTAGCCTTTGACCTTTGGAGAACTAATGGTACTGGACTGATAGCGGGGACGCTAATAGTTGACTATTAGGATTACCTCTTCTCTGTCCTTATCTTAGGGTTTACTAAGAGGGATATGTGGTACCCTTCCTCAAAGCCTATTCTCAAGCAGCGGATAAGATAAGAGCGGATTCGAGAACAGGCATAGAGGCCTTAGAAGAGAGAGACTGGCAGGCATAACCTTCTTGACAACAGCCTTAGCCGTCCTCCAGACAAATTCCTTTCTCTCTCTCTGATGGATAGCAATTCCGATAGATCAAAGAGTCACAAACCTTGCTGCCACCTAATCGATGAATCTTGTCCCCCTTTTTTTTGTGGGGGCTTCCCGCGAGAAGGTTTTTTTGTTTAAGACAGCTTTTCGTGCCCTTACTTTTGAGTCTATCAGCTGCAACAAGGGCTGCGGGAATGAGTGCTTGCCCCGACCGATACCACCATTCATTACCGTGACCCAGCCCCTCTTATAGGCAGGTCTTTCTTTAGAACAGATTCATTGCAGAATATAAAACCTAATTTAGAATCAGAATCGCGCTTGGAGCCTATCGCTAGAACGAACAACACACCTGCGACCAGACTTGCTAAGCTAGTAGGGCTTGTGGGCAAAGCAAGAGATCTTATTTTCTACTTAAGGATAGGGAAGTCTACCTCACCCTCGGGGGGAGATATCGGAATAAAGTATCCTGCCGCTGGATTCCTTGATGGATCTTGTCTTATGAATAGATAGGAAGAGAATCTGATCAATCTAGGCAATCTTGTCCGAAAGAATCACAAAGTCCCGTAACCCGCCTAAGCGTGTGAGTCATAGACTTTGTACACCTTCGCTCGTCACTTAACTTACTGAACTTACCGAAACTCGCTACCGTAAGATCACAGAAAGACGTATTCACCTTAAAGTCTAGGCCTACCTTCTATCTATAGGCTCAAGGGACGGTATGAGTTCTCTGCGATTAGACTCTGAACTCTTATGGCCTGAACAAGCAAGTGAGATACTCAAGATGAGTGGCCGATCCCAATTTATGGGGAAGATCCAGATTCCCAATTAGCTGATCTAAAGCACGGGGTTGATTGATTTGAAAGTGAAAGCTCGGTAGCGGGACTGACCAGAACCAAGCAAGGGGGCTGGCTATTGAATCAGCTGCTAAGGGAAATCAGCAGTTCTTGGAATAAGAGCTATGGGATAGAATTCCATTCAAGAGTAGGTATTGAGGCTTTGGCGACGAATAAAACTGAGAACTTATTAGAAAACTTATTAGAATAGGCCTTAAGCTAACTTAGATAAAGAGTCCACACTTCGGGCATCCGGTACAGCAGAATGGTAAACTGCTGCAAAGCACACAAAACCAAGTGCCGCACTAAAGCTGCAAAGTCAACTGCACACGTAACCTGCCGACCTACCACTTAGACCTAGTAGTGTAGTCCGGAAGAGAGCATCACTCCTAGTCGGGAGTGGGTTGATGGCCCTTATGTAGCAATGGGTTCGGAGCAGTAAGCATGACAACTTTCTTATCCCTCCTGTAACTCTTGTTTTGATGCTTAAATAGAGGCCTCATCACGTAATACACTAAGCCGAGTCTCAAGTTCCAGCTGTCAAAGAGTTCCACATCTCTGGAGTGAAAAGCTTCCCTAAAGGATAAGCAACTAAAGGAAAGGGAATAGACTCACAAACTGGATTGGATAAAGCATAACCTCTGGAAGCGGATACGCCGATCGAGAGAAGGGAAGGCCCAGTGCCTGATCGATGAATTCACTTGAGAAAGGGGATTGAACCGTGTTATGATTTATTATGCCAAAGTGTATCGGCCTGATCCTAGTGGCTCGGAAGGTAATTCATACTTAATTTTTTCTGCGGAAAATAGAGAGTTGGATAACGAAACCAACAAAAGGGGGAAGTTTGTCTCGAGTCTTCTTGGTCGGCGAAGAGTAATCACAGATAGCCTCGTTTTTCTTCGTCAATAAATTAGATTAGCACCTTCGGATCCGGAAGTGAGGATGTTCTAGTTACAGATGAATGGAGGGGGCTTTCCGAGTCCATAATATGGGAATCGCTTGTTATTTAGATATCCCGACTGTGCACGACACTAGGACAGAGGGTTTAACTGTAGTAAGAGTAAGCCGCAGAACCTTCTTGTACTAACCGCACTTAGAGTATTACTAACTCAAAGCAAGGCCAATCCCTTAGGGCATTAGCCAGAACCAGATAACTTAGGCTTTATGGTAATTCACCCGTACCAACCTAGCCACAAGCCACAATGGATCCCCGGTAGCCAACCCATAAAGGAGAGGAGTTAGACGGTAGGAATTCAGTTGTTTAGCTGGTAGGGCAATCTCTCGTGCAATAAGAATCATCCCTGAACCTTCTGAGAGGAGAGCTTGAGAAAGAAAGTCTCGAAGCGGTCCAGGTTGTGTTGTGAACAAAGCTATAGTTCTACTCGCTTGGGATTTTCGCGGTAAGCAGTTCATTATAGGAATGTGAAGAATAGAAGAAATCCTTTCTAGATCGGGATATGGAAGCGTTAGCTTGACTTGACTCCGCTCGCCTGCTAAAGCTAAGTAGGATTTTCAAAGTGGTGAAGTGGGGGCGGAAAAAGTATCGTAACGACTAAGTATTAGCTTATAAAAATTGTTTTGGTTAGACAATCTAAAGCTTGACAGTTGCTGCTTTGTGCCACAGCTGGTGCTGCCCCCCTTGTCTTCAGTAAGAACTTACTACCCCAATAGGTAGGGGCTTCCAGTGAGATATTGAACTTGCCTCACTAGAATAGTAAGTTATTTAACTGATTGTTCATTCTATCTTTGAATTTGCTTGATAGATTCCGTTAGTATGCAGTCAGTTCCCATATCCTTGAGCTTGCAACAGCTTCTTTTCAGTAGCTGGTAGCTGTAGGGGTGCTTGCTTGCTCTTGCTCCACCGCGGAAGAAAGCAGTCTAGTCAGGTACGATACTGACCAGTAAAGAATAAAGAGTAATTAGCTAGGTTGCTTTGCTTCCAGGAATAAGAATAGAGTTCCACTTAAGTAGCGAACTCGAACTGAATCCGAATCTAAGTTCCGTGGTCAGTCTTTCCTTCGTGTGTTCCCAGTTAGAATGAGATCTGAAGGTGGGTTGCGTATATAAGATCACGGCAGCATTTAGGTTAGTGAAGCTACACTCTCAGGTGGCTTGAGGAGAGTCTCGACGCGGTGTACACGTAGCTCCGATAACATGCAGTCGAAAATGGAATGGAGAAAGATATATATAAAGTTGGAATTTAGGGATAAAATCGAAAGTGTACAGTTAGGTCTCAAACGAATTGTCTCTGATCTTCCCCTGGGTCTAGCAGTGGTTGATGAAAACCGTGATTTGCTCTTCCTTAGTTCGATGCCGATTCGTAACCTGGAAAAGGGGGCGGAGGCTGGCTTGCATCAATACCCGCCATGCCCCGAACTGGTCTTGACTTTACCCTTCCTCAGTGCCAGGCGGATTGGAATGCGAATGACTGAACGAATTCATTAGAAAAACCGGAGCTTGACAAGAAAAAAGGACAGATGAACCCTATGATCGCTTAATGGAAAGAATTGACAGCCATTCCACAGGCTTGGAAATTAGGTTTAGTCAAGCCGCAGGAAAATAACTCCAAAGCCTTTCTCTTCAGTCTGAAAGTGGGGCTGAACCAAGTGGCTGGAAGCAAGTTCGAACCTAGAATGCGATTCATCGGTCTCTATTGAGTCTTCCCGTGCTAAGCGCAGGCAGCGAGTGAGCAGCATCTGAACAAGCAGAATCGGAGGTCCGTCCAGCTATGCATCTAAATCTCTTTGGTCAAGGTCTCCCTATCTTTTGACTTACTCATCCATCTAGGGCGATAGGAAGATAGGGCGCATTAAGGTCCGCATCGTCTCCGACAGGTCCGACCAAAAGTCCATATTTCGATCTCTGCCCCTCTGCCGTCGCAGCATCCCTACTCCGTGTTGCTAGTCACTCTTGGCCAACACCATCCTGTCGAGTTGAACCAGGCCTATTTGAAAATAGATATGACATATAAGATAATGGCATCTATCTTTGTTAATTCCTTAAGGGAAGATCTACTTCATTCCTTGCTTTAGAATGACGAAGAGAGAAGTGTGAATGCAACCTTCCCTCTATTCTTTCAGTTGTTCGCAGCTTCTTTATCTGGTATTGAGTTCATAGACCACAATCAAAATGTGATTCCGACACCTGACGAAGACCTTCGACGTGCTGCGGAAGCAAAGTCGTAGTTAGTAGCCCGTTACGGAAAGCAACCCTCGCTCTATTCTTCTATTATACAGATACGGCTATTCTAAGAAGTCCGGCTAAGCTAGCTCCTAAAAGAATAAATCCTTGCTATAACAACTTTTCTTCTTTCATTGCTCTTCTTAGCCTTGCAAATGAGGCGGTTGATAGACCCGTATGGTTAACATAAACTTCAGAGTCTGAGGCTAGCTCTAGGACAAGCTGAGGTGGATCTTTCTCCTCAGGGGTTAAGTCCAAGACTAATGTCTATCTTTCTGCACTTCCTTAACTCTTTCAGGATTGAATACTAGTATATCTTGGTAAGATTAGTGTCTATTCCATCCCTTCGTGGAGTTAGGGCATGTGATGTGGAATCAAAGAGTCACGATGCTTTAGTTGTGGGTTAGCAGAGACAGGGAAAGATGATCACCGCGATCGCAATGGCCCACTTTCAAGCTAAATAAGGACAAAATTGTCTTCCATTCTTAGCAATCCCTCGAAGTACTTCTGCTGAATGATAACGATCCCCTACCACCAAGACCAACAGCTGCGGATTCAATAGCATCGGCGAGAGAGATAATTCCTATTGAGTTAGCTTTCCTGGGGGAGAGGATATTCTATAAAGGCTATACCACCCCAGAAGATCAGACATAATTCTCTAAAAGCAGCTACCGGGTGATAATTACAAACTACCAGCTGACAGCTACACGGATTCACCACTACTTATGACTTATTACTCCTGCTCCTAGACAAACAAATAAGCAAGGAAAGAGGAGGGAATAAAGCATATTTTAGGCATCGACTAGGTTGCCAATCAGATAAAGGCAATTAAATTGATCAAATGGGGGGGCCAACCGCTTCGACATTTTCAGAGTCAGAGAAGTGGACAAATGCTGCTAGTCTTTTCGACGAATCAACTGTGGCACTTTAATTAGCATTACCTTGTGTAAAAAAAAAAGCACTTCTTTTAGTGAGCGAGTTAACCGCTTACGGCCCCTCGATGGTTTGCTTTCAGTTTACTTTTGTGGTTCTATCGTAACTAAAGATGATTCTGTTCTGTTAAAAGATTAGGAGTAAGGGCACTTGCTGTTGCCGCTCTTAGAGTAAGAAGATCAGAGCTTAGCTTAAGGTTCACTTTAGGATAGATGGGCCTAGACCTTTTGCCTCCTTCCTTCAAAGAGCCGATTCGTGACAAGAGAAGAGCCCTGGAAACGACTAAAAGGCTAGTACCGTATACGACAACAAGACCAACAAGAGTTCCTACTCATACTCTTACTAAAGCACCGGCAACTCCAACTGTAGCAGCGGTTATTGCCAACAGCGTCTAATCCCAGAGCTTCTATTTACTCAAGACCAGATATGCATTCAGTTAGCTTTCTAGCAGCGGTAATGCCATCAAGAGCGTCAAGGCTTAGAGCTTCTTTTCAAGCTGCCTATTCTGTGTTTGGGTTAACTATTGATTCAATTGTGACAAGAGCGTATTCTTTCCTTTCAAAGAGGGCATTCGATGCCTATTCTTTTCTTATTGATCCTTACTTTCCCTTTACTTCGTCTAAAAAGGCTCGAGAAGGCCTATCTTTAATTTAAGCTAAAAAAATAAGAGTTCAAGCGGTCTAAGCCCCCATATCCTGTTTCATCGGCCTTCGGGATATAGAAAGCTTATTTCCATTTTTTTAATTAAAAGAAGCCTTAAGGCGACATCTCTTATACAACCTAAGACTAGCATGCAACCCTAAAGGCGAAATGGTTAGCAAGACAGTCAAGCAGTCTAAGCCGGCCTGAAGCCACTCCTTCTCTGAAAGGGCTCGCGCACGTGTGCATATAAAAGAGAGCTAATGAGAGGAAGGGACGGGACGCTAAGGTGCCGCGGCAAAGTAAGCTTAGCCTTTCTCCGGTCAGCTGATATAGACTCCCCCCATTGGCACTTCTTTGTAAGTTAGCACATCAATGAATACTAAGTCTGTTGTCAAGAGTGAGCACAAAATATGTATGAATTTCCTTGATCCAATTTCCCATCTCAAACTGATGAAAGGTAGTGTCACTTTTCCTTTGAGCGAATTACAGGGCGGAAAAGGAAGCACTCTGATGACATCGCACGTCGAGAAAGAAGCTGGCAGAGGGTATAGTCTTGATTCTGAAGCCAAAGGAGCAGGAGTTTTAAAATCCCACCGGGGATGAAAGTAAAGGCTAGCAGGGATTAAAATTCATCCCGTAGGAAGGAGACAATCTTCTTCTGTTTACAAGTCTTGTTGAAGAAGCCTTGACTCGTCTATCCGATTCCTCATCAACTCCTGACCGATGTAGAGAAAGTTCAGCCGAGGTATAAGCTCTTGCTAAGTCGAAGAGATCCGCTTTGCCATCTATGCCGCTCACTCCCCTATTCAAGAAAGATTATCTTCCTGGGGTCATATCTGAGTCTTTTCCTCCACCCGTTGGAGTATTTAGTAGTTGGAGGGGGAACTTATCTTGCAAGTTTTTACCCGAAAAGAATCTTATCCCTTGGTTAGTTTAGGTATTTTATTATCCCCTCCCATTCAGTCTTATCCTGCTGTACTTTAGGCATTGTTCGCCTTGGACCTGAAAGGAGGAAGAGCAGGTGTTGAAGCTCATAGGCTTGGAGAGGTATGAAGTCTTTATACTGCTATCAGAGGAGATGAAGCGGAAGAAACTTGAACTAATCTTTCTGCCCTTTAACCAGCTCCTGCCTTTACCGGATCTAATGTTAAAGCATACGTACCCTTTTGCAGACGAGTCACCTATTAAGAGTCGAACATCCTCAAAATCTTTTCCAGATGGTAAGCCGTAAAGTGTCCCAGCAACAAGGGAAGTAAGCCTTCTGTAATTAAGACTTCAATAAAAGACTGAAAGATATGATTTATATATTAAATTAGACATTCTAAATTATACCACCCTTTCCTAAATCTTTTAAAAATATATGTTTGATTAAATGAAGACTTCGCTTTAAAGACTATTCTTCACTCATTAAAACTGAATGTTTTATAGCTTTGAGTATGATTTATGATTGAGTCCTTCCCCTCTGGCTAATTCCCTAAGAGAAAGTAATCTATTAAAGTTGGACTTGAGTGCCATGATTCCTTAATAAGCCACTCGTCTGGCTAAGGCTTTTCCCTACTATTGAACTCCTCGTCCTTTTATATACCTTCCAACCCTTAGAGTGGTAGATGGAAGCCTGATCGTTCGTCTACTTCCCTAATAGTAGCACTAGACGGAGGTGATACTTTTCCTTGAGCCTTGATAGCTCCCCTTTGAACTGCCTTCCGAAGAGGCCCAGACATATTTAATATACTCTCGTAGCCTGCTCTGAGATCTGTTCACCTTATCTCTGACTCTTGTTCCCCACTCGCTGGTATAGCATAGTTTTCCCTTTTCGGTAAAGGAGAAGGAGGTTAAAGCCCAACTCCCAGTCTCATTCCCGGCTAACCGTGAACAGAGTGAAAGGTGGGCCAAGAGCTTTTTTTATTGCCCTCGGAAATTACTGAAAGACTGGCCCCTCACAGAAAAAGGGTCTCTGCTTAAAGGAAATAAGTCTTTGGGCGGGCGTACTTTTTGACGAGGCTCTTCAAGACCTTCTTTCTATTCTATAGAAGTGCCAATAGCCAATAATATAAAATCTTACTATTAAAATAGAGGGTAGTCTAGTCTAGCGCGTAGTTTCAAAGAATTAAATTAATAGAATCAGCGATCTATGCCTTACTCAACCACCTCTTTAAGGTCTTCAGTAGTTAGGGGGCGCGGAGCCACTGTTATCTCCTCTTAGGGAGTCTGGTACCCACTCCTCTTCTCTTATTGGCTGGGGATGTACACAGCAGTCGAAGCAACGTATAATAAGCGTCGATCGCGATACGCCTTCGATCACCCGGATAGATTGAGTCAAGTAATGGCATCCACTGCCTTAACTGGCATGACATAAAAGAAAACTACCACTCCACTTTTCAAAGGAAGGCTTGCCTTACGGGCACTTGTTTGCTTTCTTGAAATGAGCTAGCTTAACTCTGATTGGGAAAAGGCAAGAGGCACTGACTCTCAAGCCTCAGAGAAAGCTGAATAAATCCTATAGATTATTAGGGCAGCCGCAAGGAAACTAACCAGCACCCTCTTTGTTTGAGACTCGAGATGGAAATGACCTCCTGTCTTTGCTTGTGTTGTGTTGTATGACGTCCACGTCGTCTTTGACTCTTATTCCAACACTAGTCCCTTCGTGGTGCCCACGGTGCGGTGCGGCTCGTAGGTTAGTAAAGCAAGGAAATCCTACTGGCGGTAGCGGTTGTACCTTTGACCTATGTCTAGTCGCTTCTTTGATAATCGCATTAATTATTGGTTCACATTATCTCCTTGGGCAGGAAGTCTCAAAGCTCTTTCCTAAAGAAGTGCATAAATGACGGAAGAAAAGGAATGAATCAAGACGGTTCATCCACGGAGGGAAGCAAAGTCCATACCAGCTCCTGCTGTTGAGGTGCTCCTTTAATGGATAAAATATTCCTCTCAGGAGGGCGATATACGTATTAATAGCAGATAGAGAAGAACAAAAATCAACACTTTCATTTGACCTGGAGGAATACAAGGGGGGTATTGGTCCAACAGCGGAAGTTAGAATTTTACCCCAATAGGCCCATCGAAAGCCTCCCAGATAGGCAGTTTGCTCCCCAGTGTAGGGGTTAACCTGTCAAGAACAATAGTTTGTAACGCGCTTAAGGTAAGGCCGGCTGTTAGCAGTCGATTCGGTAATAGGAAAAGCAAGACCTTTCTGAGCAGCTTTCACTCTCATAGCAAAGAAAGAAGCAAAGCAAACTTCACTTTCGGGTTTCAACTTCGAAGATCGGTTTGGTCCTCAAGGAAGGAAGAAAAGGCCAAGGCCTATTTTCCATATCGTTAGTTAGGACGGACCTATGGCTTATGCCGTACTGGTTTCACCCGTGAGGTCTCTCTTTTCTCATCTCAGCCTCCTTATTACTCTGTTTCGGGGCTACAGCCACAGCACAAATCCGAGCGATGAAGCTTTTCGATAAAGGCCCTGGAGAGCAATCAACTCACTGATAGGCGCATATAGAGATGGCTCCGTGGAAGTTGCCGTTGGTTTTCTTCCATTAATTTATTCCCAATCAAGGTAGTTTACTTACTTGTTAGAGTCAGGTTTGGAACCCTAAAACGAAGACCTGAAAGAGCATCTATCTCAGCTCGTCCGGAAAGAGGAGCGAGACAAATCAAATCCTCACTCAGATAAAACGAGGACACCTGTGCAGAATCAGCATTTGGAGCAGGTCAGCCTCGAATCAAATCTTTACGAAGGGTCAAATCACCTGGACTCACAGTCTAGGGTTACATCTGCATTTTCGGGTTCCCTCTCGTCTACCACTACATTCTTGCATTCCAAAACCCTTGTAAACACCCCTCCTCAAAGGAACCTTGGCAAGCTACTGGAACGAACCTAATTCAAGTGACAGACAAGAAAAGTCCCAGGACGAGAGACTCCCAAAGGAGATAAAAGACTTGGCACCTTCCCTTATTCTACTTCCTTTTCTGATCATGGCATTTGGGCCTTAACTTAAAGAAGGAGCTTACTCATATGAATGTGCAGCTGAGTCCCCTTGATTGATTCAATCCTGCTTGAAGTCAAGGTGAGGGGTTATTCGGTAAGAAGAGTAGCTTTCCGTCTTTCCATTCTTTATTCTTTCGCAACACATAGAATTGGATCTTTCCTGCTTTCAGGTGCGGATTTGCTCCCACTCACGGACAAAACGGATTCTGTTTCATGTCCGAGTAAGACTCATATGCCGAAAATCATCTTCTCCGGTATAAAAAAAAGCGTCTGCACGTGTCCCTGGCTTCCTTCCTTCCTCCTATAGTAAATGCCGTTCTTCTTTGGCATATGCCTCTTCCTTCTTTCAAAGATAGGATTCAATAGCTGTGGATTCTGTGCATCCATTCTAAATAATTATAAGTCGAGAGACAAAGAATTTAGAATTGAATGAATTCGTATTCGTTACTGTCCAATTTATGTTATTTGTCGAGATTGGTCTGTAAGAACCATCGAGTCTTCGTCTCACTCGTATAAAATCCTAGCTACTCTAATGCTCGTGCAATTTCGCTTCTAAACCTCATGAACTCAAACTCATTAGTTCGCTCTGGATCTTCTCAATTCATCTTTCAGCTTAATTGCTCTAAAAGCAAGCCTTGAATTCATTTCGAAATTGCTTAACTTAATGGGAGAGAACATCGGGCCGGGCTTGGTTCCGTACTCCCTCAATCCAAGAAGGAACTCCACAAGCAAGGAACCATGACTTTCCGAGCATATTAGCGAAAAGGCTCATACAAAGGCAAGGAGGCAAAAAGCTTTCTTTATTTGTTAGGGAGATACGTCTTCGAATCAACCCTTGAACCTAAACCTCGGAAGGATGGTCTTGGCTGTCCTTTGGCTTATTCCCCGATCGGATTGAATGGACAACAGGTGACCTCGGGTGAGGATCACGAAGGGAAGGGTATAATAAGTCTGGCTTTCCAGTCTCACCCAAGAGTCCCTGAAAGGGCCACTAGTAAGTAAGACTCTATCTTATCTTCGATTACTATACTATTTTCTTAATTGATGTATGTAGTTTAATATAAGAATTACGGGAATGGAATTAAGGCTGAAAAGCGCGAGACACAGAGTCAGGGGTTTACATAAAGTGGAATTGATAAAGAGAAGAGGTCGACTAGGGCGCCAACTAAGGGCCAAAGAGACAAAGAACCACCAGCGGCTCCACCGAGTTTCCCCGGTAGCCTACCAGTGAGAACTACTAGGCGGGAAGGGATCTAGTCGAATTCAAGCAAAATAATACGTCGAACCCATGCATGCTACAAGACAGCTTGTATTTCCGTCTGGTCCAATAGATGTAACTGGCACCTTTCAGGTCGAGTCTGAAGCCATCTCTAATGCCGGACGCTTCCTCTTTTTTTTGTGCTATTCCTCATCTTGAAATCCATGCTGAACACATGGAATTCGATGCTTTACTTCCTCATTCTAAGTCCATGTGGACCTCCTCCCAGAAAAAGGTTAAGCACGACCCTGGTTCAGGTGGAAATACTTTCAAACTACGCATCCACTCACACTAGGACCGTCGACCGTCAAAGTGAAGAAAGCTTCTTTTCATCCTTGTTCTCTGTTTCGTGGTCAAAGTTCGGAGCTGCAGAAATCTTGCCTCCTGTTCATAGGGAAGATCTTTGTGTGCTGGTATCAGAAAGAAAATATCGAGCTTGAGAGCTCCCCTATTTGAATGCAAGGATCGATCCTAGGAGCTGGAAACCTTATTTCAGTGAGCTCTTCAGACAATGTTCTACAAGCAGCTAAAGCTGCCGCACTTTTTCCTTCTTCCTTTGCTACCGGGGATGTGCTCCTAAACCTGGACTAGACTTGCTATTCTCAAATAAAAAAGGTCTCTGCCCTGAGCCTTTTATTTAAAGAAAGAAGACTGGTTGCCGACTACCAACTGCCATGAAGGGCCCTCTTATGGTAGTTTTACCATGCTTTTTTCCATTCATTTCAGACTTTCAAATATGACACGAAAAAGTCTATCTAAAAATATGTAAGACTTTTTTTCTCTCCTAGATCTTAGTTATGTTATTATATAATAAAAAATATTATTCTCTCCTTCACATTCCTATTGGGATAAGTTTTATCGCTTCGCACCTTTAGAGCTAAAAAAGCTCCATACTTTGGACAGAGAGTTATTTCCGACTTTAGCACTCTTTTTGTGTGCCGGGGAAGGAGTAGGAGGTGGAATCATTAGTGAAGATATCCGCGCACAGTAAATCCGATCAATAGGTTGCAATCAGATAAAGGAAACGTTACATATTTGAGGAAGAATACGAACGGGATTCCACTGCACATTCATAGGCTGTTAGGGAGGGTTGCGCTAGTGAAGAAGGCCTGCCTAGGGCATTCATTAAAAGAAGACAGTTAAGTTAGTCAAGATAGTGAGTAAGGTTACGGAGCATTCCACTGAAGCAGTACGGCATCGGTTCTTGCGAATGAATCTGCTGTTGGAAGAAAGCTATAACTATAATTATAATAGTTGGGCTCGATCCCAGACTGAATAGCATTCAACGGAATAGAGGTTAGCGAAGAGGGAAGGGAACAAAATGTTAGGGGTAGAGGAGAGCGCTGGAAAGAGAGGAGGCCTATTCGCAGCCTTTTATCCGATACAATACGCACCTTACCTGAAGATAAAATCCCCCCTGGCGAACTATTCATATTAGATTCACCGGCAGGATTCAGGAAGCGTGAAAGCGGTTAGATGGAAGTTGTTCTTACTTTCGAATGGAGAAGCACCATCTCCACTCTCCGCGGGGGGAGCTTATGACGGAGCGTACCTATCGGTCGTACGTCAATCAGATAACGGAACGTGGCACCCGACAAAGCGTTCCCTATCAGCGGGTGCTCCAAGCCGTCATAAGCTCTCACCTTCTTTTAGACAGAAGGGATGGATGGTCGGTGGTTTTGATAGTGAATGACCGGGGATTTCGTTCACGCAGCAAAAATGGGGGGGAGGAAAGCTCATAGACTAAAAAGTTAGAAGTTAGTATTACACCAAGAATTAATTGACAAGCGGATGAGTTTTCTATGTTGTCTTGTCTTTCAGTGCGCTCATTCCTAATTTATTTGTACCGCCCAGAAGAGCACGAGAGAAAAGCGGATCCAATACCAAGACGCCCAGAACTATCACTTCGAAAGATGAACCCCTCGATCGACTAAGATGAATTGGAACTGGCTACAGAGGAACCTCTCACTCCAAGACTTCTTTCTTTGTCTTTTGATTCCAAGGGCTAAGATTCCAATTCAAGTGGGAGGTTGTAGTTGTAGACTCTAACTCTTTCCTTTTCTTATCTTGTTTCAGCAGCAGCTCCAATAAGTTAAGATTGTTATTGAAAACTTTTTATGTGATGTGAACAAGCTGGCCATAAAGTTAATCTTCAAAAGTATAAAATCTTTTTTGGCCCAAAGACTCCTAGATCCTTGGTGAGAGAAATTCAAGAAGAGAGTGGCATCCACATCACTGATAACCGAGGAAAGTCTATAGGTATCCCTTTGTTCCACTCAAAAGTTAGCAAGAGTACCTTCAACTACATCATTTAAAGAGTTAAAAAGAGGTTGCAAGGATGGAAGGAAAAATGCCTTAACCCCGCTGGGAGAGCTACTCTTATTCAGGCTGTTACTACTGCCCTTCCTTACTATGTTATGCAAACTACTTTACTGCCTGCTCATACTTGTACCCTGCTGGACAAAATCAATATAAACTTTTTATGGTCTACTGAATCCTACTAAAAAAGGGATGCACCTGGTGGGTTGGGACAAAGTTCCTTTAAGGAAGAGAGATGGAGGTCTTGGCATTAGAACTACTAGAGAGGCTAATAATGCTATTCTTGCTAAGGCAGGGCGGAAGGAAACTGCTTCTAGAGGGTAACCCCCTATGGTCCAAGGAAGGCTATAGGTAAGGGACTGTCGGGTGCTGGGTGCTATGAAGAGACTGCTCTTGCTTTTTGGGCTTGTGAATGAGAATGCTTGCATAAATGGCAGCCATAGTTATGCATGCGCTTTGGTTGGTTACCAGATTGAGACTATAGCTATAGTGAGTCAACTAGCCTCTTCGGGAGCCCTCAATCAGTTTTGAACACTGATTCGAAACTCTTTCAGCTACAATACCAGTCTTTTGTTTACTTCTGCAGGTGACCAACTTCCCTTCCTCTCTCCTTCTTGCTACATGAGTTTAATAGTATTACAAGATAGGAACGAAGTAGCTCGACAACATAGTGGAGAAACTAGATGTAAGGGCACTCTAAAATCCCCTAATGCCTATCCCGATCCCGCCGCTCTTGACCCACCCTGATGTAAAGAAAACGAGTTGGCTTGAGGATGAGAATCGGTAGTTTTTCTGTTAAAGTAGCGGTAGGAGTAGCTGCTGCTGCTTTCAAGAATTAGCCCAGACCCAACAAGGATAAAGCCAAAAGGCACTCTTTCGAGATCGAATGATAGCTGAAACAAAAGTTTCGTACCCAAGAAGTAAAGCTTTTCAGAAGCAAGACAGTTAGAATTCACACATTTCAGTATGGTATGGGCTTTAGCCTTTGCTTTTCTAAGGACATTTTCACAAAGAAGTCTCTATTCTTAAGGAGCTGATTATAGAGCAACCCCGCTAGAACTCTAAGGCTTTGCTTTTCTGGCAAACTCTACCACTAAAGAGTAAGCACATCACTAGTGAAAATTCACACTCAAAATTTATTCCAGGAAAAAAACCTCATTCACTTCTAGGACTTGGGTTAGAGAGGCAGAAGTAGAATAAATCAAGTCGAAGTGCAGTTCCTATCTCTTAGCTCAGATTAGAGCACCAGCTGTTACGCCCCGTTACGCCGCGCCTTAACTCCTAGCCCTAAGACGGAGTAGTCTTAGTAGCAGTAGGATTACCAGATTCCCTTGCTTTATGTCTTTCTTTCTGACTTTCCTGCTTTCAGTTACGGATTGAACCTATTTGCCCATTTCCTTCCTCCCTTTACTTTGCTCCTTCTTTGTGATAGCCTTTTCTTAAGCCTATTCGAATTCGATAGCAACTCCTTCTTTTCCGAGTTGGCCTGCAGCCTCTTGGTAAATAGGGAACTCCCCTTTCTTAGCGCAGGAAATCGAGCACAGCTTTCGCAGCAATCCTTTTTCGTTTATTGGGAGACTGAAAGAAGGATTTGATTACGAAAAGATGGTTATGGAAAGCCTATCATGACATCGTTTATCGCGGTTCATGTGTGGCTGCTCGCTCTTGCCTTTCCTTGTCCAACTGCTATAAGCGGCATTGCTTAGCTTAGCATAACAGCTAGCATCAATCTACCAATCAATAAAGAAAGCACCTTCATGGACTGAGGGAAGCCCCTCTTCTTTTCTTGGAGTTGCGCTTTCAAGAGCGCTATAAAGACTATTCATTCCCATAAGTAACGATCTTAATGGCTTTGAAGCCGCTAGGGATGAATCTAGGACAAATATTCTTTGTCAGCTCTCTCGTCTTTCACTGCTAGGTCAGCTAGCCTAGTTCGTAGTTGCAGGTGGGAACGTTAAATACTGCCTTCGATCCGTTGACCCGGGCAACCTCGTCCCTCATCGCTTGTTAGAGAGCTATAACTTCACCGGTGAGATTGCCAGCCAGGGGAGATCTATTTGATTGGGAAGTTCTTAGCGGATATCAAAGGTGCAATCCGCAAATCGCATGTGTTAAGTATGGCATTTCACCGATGCTTCGATCACTTCCTATAGATACCGCCTAGCTTGAAAGAGAAAGAGATCACAGGCATGTGGTGAAGCATACCGAGAGAAAGAGCAGTTAAATAAACCATATCGAGCACAGGTCTCACTCTACAAGTTCAGTTCGATGAGCTCCTAGCGGACCTGTGCCTACTATCTACTTAGTGTGTGTGCTAGGGCAAGCTGAGCAGTTCTCACTGTGTCCGGTGACCAACAAAGCTTGTGGACTACTACTGGGACGAACTCTTCTACATACTGGTGGGACTATTCACTGACTAACAGATTCGGGGAACGAAGAAGGCCCGATATCTACCTACATCTACAGTCGTAGAAGATAGCGACTTGATTGTACTATAGGCAAAGCCATCCCATATGCCCTTATTCAGTCATATGATTCACAGTTCAGCCTGCTCAGCCCCAATAAATGCTTTCTTCTTCAGGCTTCAAAGCCTTTTCGTTAGCAATCCCTTCACACCGCCCTCCTCACTCCTCATCAAGCAATGGATGGTAGTAGTGCTGTCAAGTCAAGAGTTCAGACCGTCGAATGAATTGAGGCCTGGTGGGAGGACTTGTGTTACGATGCAGCTGGCACCTTTGAGGTCTCGTTGCAGAGTAGGCAGACACTCTTGCGTGCACTGTACACGGTTGGCGCGGTTGTGATAACTTAATGGAACTTTTGAGTAGAATTCCGAGGTGTGGAAAAGTGGAGTAGTGACTTTGTGGTCCCCGATTGGTACAAGAGTCAGATGGTTAATCTTGTCAGTAAGGGCAAAGTTCGGATTGAGCTTATGGTAACAGGGGGGCAAGAGTGTTACTGTAACACTTGGAACAAAAATCTTGGCTGGTCTGTCTATTCAAACCAGTACTCGAGAGAAGGGACTCAAAGCGCTGTTCTCCTAGGGCTGACTCAACTATAATTTTATGGAAGGAAGTACTCGATCACTTATAGCTGGATTTGATCCATCAATGGAAGCTCGATTGTATCGCAGGTTGGTATGTGCCGCTTTATCCTTCCTTCCAAAGGAACATTGAACGAAGGGCTCATCTATAGAAAGCAAGCTATAGCTATGGGAATAAGTCATGTCCTAAGCCTAAGGTTTTGGGCACCGTAGTCTCATCTATATCGATGGCATTCAAAAGGGGATTTCCTTCTTTGCCACATCTTGATTCTCTTAATAAATTCCCTATTCAGGGTTTCCTGCTCCTCAGTGAACCGGATCAACCACGACGGTAGGGTCTACTTCTACTGGTCTTGGATTCTCCCTGCATACATAATCATCAACGACTAAAAAGAAGGCTTATACTTTTATCTCCTCTGAATCTGCAATGCTGTAATCTGCATCTCCCTTAGTCTTTTCACTTCCACCTAACCTAGAACCTAGGATAGTTAGAGGTTTAGGATCAAGCCCAGCCTCAGCTATGGTCTCCCCGCAACAGTTCTCGATGAGCCGCAACCTCAGCATCAAAGAGGTTCTCACTCCCTTCCAACAAAGAAAGTTCAGCTTGATCAGAAACAGACCCAACAAGATCACCTTGGGACTGACCAGACCGAAACGGGTCAGAAGTGGAAACTCTTTACTCGCTGGAAAGAGCGAGTAGTAACAACAGGAGCTTGGAAAAAATCCTCGATGGAAACATATGGGGATAAAGCAGTAGCGTAATACCACCTGACGTACTTGAGCCAGGCTTCAGTCCAAGATCTGAGAAGTGTCATATCCTCTAAGTACTAAAAAGTCTCAGACTTATAAGTACTCGTTGGAGGCACCACAAGATCCTTAGGTCTGAAAGCTTGTTGAAGCTTCCAGATCAATCGACCTTTTAAATAAGGGTCGACAGGACAGCACTGGCCAAGCCACAACTCGAAAGGTAGCTTAGCCTTTAACCAAATCGCCTTCAGCCGTAAGACTGTAGACGACTTAGTGTTGTTAAGTTTACCAAGAAGCCTATAACCAATACCATACAATCGACATAGAGTGGAAAACCTCTATATCTTATAGAGATGACAAAGGGAATACAGTCCATGCATGTATTGTATGGGAATTAGCCAGGTTTCGAAGAGAGGGGATAAATCCACTGTTAAATTCTTACACCTAAACTTCTTAGCAAACTCAGCGCCACCCACATCTGAGACTAAAGACTTAGGAAGTTATATAGTCACACCTAAATCCTTAAGTGTAGATAGGTAGACTTCTGCGACCTTTGAGTCGGCGATACAAATATCGTCGCCAAGGATAGCATACTTATCAAAGCGCTTCCCCGGATATATCTTCTCCGCACACCACCAAATGGTGGGACAGTGTAAAGAGCGGCCAAGAAGCGAGATATCCAAGAGGTTGCCCTGATCCTTGGGCTGATAGTCAAGTAATTTGCTTTTGAATGACAGGTCTACTCTTGGATACAAAGGTTCTATGTTCAAGCAATTGGGCCAACTTTCATTGGATCCTTCCGAAGTAGGCGAAGGTCGAGTTGCTGACCTGAATGCTTTGGCTCTTTTTGGTAAGTCTTCTCGGAGTAAGAACCTTTCTTTTTGAGCCGGCGCGGAGACCTATGGTCTCCATTCCGCCTTATCTTTGCTCTCTGTCGGTGTGAAGTTGCTAGCATAATCTGGTAAGCAGCGGGCTTTCTATCCTCAGAGGTTCCGGTCACGCTAGTCTAGAACATCTTCCGACCGTTGGCTGCTTGCTCTCTGGACTCCTGGAGCTACTTCCTTTGAGTTGCATCGAAGAGAGTCTCTTATAAGCAAGTTCCTGTCAAAGGGAATCATTATTCGTAAGTTCCCGTGTGTAAAAGTTGCCTATTCAAATAAAAAGGGCGAAAACCTATTGCTCTATCTTGCGTCCCTCCATCCCGGATCTCTAGGAACAGGGCTGACAGCAACACCATTAATCGAACGAGTCGGGATGATAATCTCACATGGTGCCGTTCTAACTCGTTACGCACGCAATTGACGTAGTAGACCTCTTGCATGATTGTTTCAATCAATGATGTATTCAATCAAGACAAGAAAGATACGTCGTAATAAGATCAGGTTACATAAAGGGTCTGTGAGGGAACATCAAGAAAGAGGATCAGACCAAGTGCGAGATTGGATCAAAAATAGCGTATTAAAGGATTATGGTCTTTCTAGTACAGTACGATCGATCAAGTCATTCAGTAAAGTATCTTCGCGTTGTGTTTATGGAATTCTATTAGAGCGGGTAGTTTATATTGCTCCCGATAAATTCTTCCCTTTTTCGTTTGTGCATCTTTCTCCCTTGCATTTCTGGATCAACCAACCGGCTATTTCCTTTTCGACAAGTCTTTTCTCATTGCTTAAAGTAAAGCAGAATTTTAACTTAACTCGCCATGAACTTGTACTTACAGTTAGACTTATACTTATACAAAGACAACTTATACTTATACTTATACTTAGAGTCGGGGGTGGTTCCTATACCCAGCCCTCTTGAACAATTTGAGATAATCCCTTTTCTTCCTATGAAGATAGGTGACTTGTATTTCTCATTCACAAATCCCTCTTTGTTTATGCTGCTCACTCTCAGTTTGGTCTTACTGCTGGTTCATTTTGTTACTAAAAAGGGAGGAGGAAAGTCAGTACCCAATGCTTGGCAATCCTTGGTAGAGCTTATTTATGATTTCGTGCCGAACCTGGTAAACGAACAAATAGGTGGTCTTTCCGGAAATGTGAAACAACAGTTTTTCCCTTGCATCTTTGTCACTTTTACTTTTTTGTTATTTTGTAATCTTCAGGGTATGATACCTTATAGCTTCACAGTTACAAGTCATTTTCTCATTACTTTGGGTCTCTCATTTTCTATTTTTATTGGCATTACTATAGTGGGATTTCAAAGAAATGGGCTTCATTTTTTAAGCTTCTTATTACCCGCAGGAGTCCCACTGCCGTTAGCACCTTTTTTAGTACTCCTTGAGCTAATCTCTTATTGTTTTCGCGCATTAAGTTTAGGAATACGTTTATTTGCTAATATGATGGCCGGTCATAGTTTAGTAAAGATTTTAAGTGGGTTCGCTTGGACTATGCTATGTATGAATGATCTTTTATATTTCATAGGAGATCTTGGTCCTTTATTTATAGTTCTTGCATTAACCGGTCCGGAATTAGGTGTAGCTATATCACAAGCTCATGTTTCTACGATCTCAATCTGTATTTACTTGAATGATGCTACAAATCTACATCAAACTTGCTTGTTATTTATTTATAATTGAACAAAAGCGGGGATAGAAGTTTCTCGAGCTAGGGTAAGTTCAGCCAATCGCTCCGGGTTCTTTCACTCACAGAAGACCAAGCCTTGCTACTTAAATAACAGGTAATCAGACTTTAGCCTTTCCGTAGTCCCATAATTTTCATTCAGGGGATGACCCTGAGGAAGAAGCCGAAGGCATACCCAGAGAAAGGAAGCATGCTATAATTAGGGTATCACCTATCGATGGGAAGCCAGCCAACCCCTCTCCTTTTATCATGTCGAGCTACTTCATACCTTGTTCTATCAACAACACGCTACTTCGTTCCTCTCCTTATCAGTCGAGTATCTCCGCTCCTGACTCTAACAAGTATGCTTCTAAACTCCAAGCTCTAAAGAACCTGCAATTAAACATACCTGTCCCTTATTCTATCAAACAAGCTTAAATCCCTCTCCTTATAGAAATGCAACTACGTTCCTTTAGCGGTTAAGTAGGATTTATTCATAATAGAAGGGATAGGTTTGAGTCCTGGTTCAAGGTGTGAAGAGAGAGGCTGTCCCAAAAGGACAGGTACAAGACGAAGTGGCAGAAAGATAGAAGTATTGCACCCTTCAATGCCTTTTCATGCTGATTGGGTAGAAGAAGTAAGATAGAAGGACTAGTCCCTTAGGGAATGATCTTATCTGGCTTTAGACTCCTTTCAACGACACAAGGGACATCAGGACGCTAACTTTATTGCGAGCAAAAATAAAGATTCTATTTTCCCTCTTTTCTACAGGGGAATGACCGTCACAAGTTAAATGAAAGGAATTCCGCTTTAACTTCGCAATCTGGTAACTACATTCATAAGCAGTTGAAGTTACTATAGCAGGAATTAATTTTTAAAATTAAAATAGGCTCCTCCCCGAATATGCCTTAGGAAAGTCAAAGGAGGGGTTCAAAGTGAAGAATTGGGGCACTATTATATTCCCCCTCTTCTTACTGAGGAAGAACATATTTTAGGAAGCCGACTCTCGTTCTTTATCTACGGGAATATGAAAAGTAGACCTGTCGCGCTTCGAAGAAAGGTAGTTCCCTGGGGTCTGTCTATCTTACTATATATACGATGCACCTAGGTTTCCAGACGTTCAGACTGAAGTCTGATAAGGCAAGAAGCAATTTATCTAAAAGTGATAACCTTTTTGTTGTCCCACCAGATTTATAGTGGAAATATTGGAGGCGACATGGGGTTCATTGAGGATTTTGAGTAAGGCATTCCTGTGAGCTTCTGATGCTATCAGGAGACCTAAGATAGACTGGCATCTTATTGAGTTGTTAAACCACACTGAATTCACTGTTCTTGATGATCCTCAAGAATTCCGTTCTTTATTTCTTCCTCTGCTGCTTGACAGGTTAAATATCTCCCATTTTTTCCTTTCTTTTCTTCCTTCTTAGTTCCAACTCTTCTGGAGTATAACATCTTCCAGAACGAGTCATTCCTCCAATTTCTGCCACCTACCTCGGGCTCTTTTCCCCTTGTTCGGTAGTAGCCTCGATGCCGTAATTCCAAGGCACAACATGATTTCCCATGTTAGGTTCCAGGAGGCTGATAGTGATGGGTCCCTTCGAGGGTGGATAGGTGATAACCATCGGTTTTGGGATGGGTCTGAGTGTCAGGATTTTCGGAACCTTTGGTGCGAAAAATGATGCGCTTGGAATGGTGATAACAAGGGGCTGCGGTTGTGATGGAACTGGTACTAGGTAGGTGGATCGAGGGGCTTGGTAGGACGTAGGCCTATTTTTTGCATTCTGAACGATCTGGGATATAACGTTGTGCAGATCAGGGCTATTCCTGTGTTGAGGCCGGATCAGAGGTTATATCATGTTAATCTCTGTGCAATCCGCGTCTTTCACCTTAGGCCAAACGAGACTATCTTTGAGTGAAATTGGTGGTTGTATCTGGGACGTCTTTCTCTTCTTGCATAGACTACTACTCTCTGATTCATCCTGCAATGAAGGGCATGGATTCTTCAAAGCGTAATACGCATTCCTCCCTCGCATCAGAGTAGAATAGATGCCCCTCACTAGCAGCAGTTTATCTCACATATCCCTACCCGGACCTGGAATCAGGAGCCAAGCCGTATCAACAATCAACAGCAGACCTAAGATCTCGGAGAAGAGGATCCCCGGCAATAACTCTCCTTTGACACATAGGCGCTATCAGCCCTTCTCTTATGCCGGGTCTGGGGGAGGAGTAATTTTTTCTGCCTGGAGCGAGCCAGGTCTGGGATCTTTCCCATAGCCTTCTTTCTTTATTATTTCTGTGAACCTGAGCGAATTCTTTTCTCTATTGTACCTAAATCTTCAACGTTTCAAAAAGTAATCTTTCTGAGTGCGCTTGACCGCCTTACTTTACTCGCGGTACACTGACTATATTCCGCAGAGGTTGGCAAGAGCTTATTTCACAGCAAGACTGAATGGAATTAGCCTCGTAGAACTGAACTACCTTGATCTAAATCTCTGGAACTCACAGAAGACCAAGGCACATCCACTCTAAATTCAGCATAAGCTTGGGATCTTTCTTTCCTCAAAGCTAAAGCCCTTGAAGCCTGGTCTTTCTTCTTTAAAGCCTGGAGCTGGTGTATTACTTTATTATATCGTCAGTAAGGAAGTTGAGATTGTCAGTTTCATTTCGTGAACCAGCTACCCTTTCTCTTCTTCTTCCGTAACTTCTTCTTAGTCTACCTACTCTAGAACCGGGGGGATACTCCGTGGCTTTATAGTCTTTGCATCCACTTGGCCACTCGAGTCTTGGCTTGGCCACACTCTAATAAGTTCCCATCTCCTTTTTTAATTAAAAAGCTACTGGACTTGGCTTCTTTCCTGCACATAGTGTCTTATATTGAATCACATCTGCAGCGCTTACTGATTCAATCACAGAAGAAAAGATCACAGCTGATACGCATTCAATTGCTAACATCACACCGTTTACTGATTAACGTCCGACTACAGCTCGTATGAGTTCTTACGGTTGGTTGGGAAGAGTCTCAACTTAAAGGTACTACATACTTGATTAGAGAAGGAATTTCTTACTTAATGCCATGCTTTACAGACATTCTGACCAAAGCCCCGGATTAGTAACATAGGATTTTGGCTTTTCCGTCCGAATCCCATTCTATGAGGGCCGCCTCACTAGCCTTCCTATAAGGCCTTTAGAGAGGATTCAAACTCTTCGTCCGTGACTCACTGGCATTTCTTCCAGAATGAAGAGAGAGTAGAGCTATTGAAGCAGAAAGCCTATTAGGCTCGGTACGCTATAAACATCCAGTTGCCATATCTTCAAACCTATTACCGTAGGTCGACTGTCAGTAACCCTCGCTCTTTTTCGTGAAGAGTAAGTATCTAATCCTTCTGCTCTGGAAGTTGATTGAGGACTTCTATTCACTTTGATAGATGGCGTTGGAAGGAGTGGTGTCCAGGATTAATCCCAGTACCACCACACCTCTCCTTGCCCGTGGTTGGTTTAGGCCACGAGCAAAGACCAAGAAGTCTTGACCAGTAAAGCCTCCAGAGACCCAGGTCCCACCTAAACTAAAACTTGAAGTCAGAGCTTTTGGTGGTTTTATCTCACCTTTATGATACTTCATATTGAGATCAAACAAAGGCCACAATATCCCAAACCTTATCAGCTCTTGATTTTAATCCTTTGCTTTCCAAGATGTTAGGACAATTGGGCCTTCAAACCATGATTCAATGGAGGTATCCGGAGAAGAGGACTGGACTGCGTACCAGGCCAAATACTTAAGCCAGGCACGGACGATCTAGCTGGGCGAAGGGATTCCCGAGTCAAACGACTACCATACATAGCATAGAGCTGGAAGCTGCACTAGTGGACAGAGAAGACTGGACGTGAACACGAAACTGTACAGGAATAAGAATCGCCCGCCCCACTTTCCCTCTTTGAAAGAGCATAGCCCTGTAACCCCTAAAAAGAAAGAGGAAGAGAGTGTAATGCCATAAAATTTTAGATATCCTTTATAATTCTGATTACTCTAAAGAAGCGCGAGCGCTGGGCTTTTCGTGATAAAAAAACTATCCTAAACTCTCTTCTTCCGGGGATTCGGGTTAGTTGTTGACTTACAAAGAAAGGCAGATCGATTAAGATCTTCATCTTTATAAGGCATTCTAACTCTAACGATTAACGATCATAATCCTTTTATCAGGGTGCTCTTCACATTCATTCATCAGCCTGCTTCAAAATCCCTTTGCGTGCACCTTTCTACTAGTCTCACTTGAAATGAAGTTCTTCCCATTCCCCTGGGGTAAATTCCTTGGAAAAGACGCTTGAGCAGCCAGCCTTCTTGCCCAGGTCTTGGGCTAGGCTAGGAGATTGGAAGCCTCAATTCAAGTCGAGCAGCAGCTTTTCTACACTCAAAGGGAACCCGGCATCCCATTAACTGAGACTTCCTATGCATAGCTGTAGCCTTTCGTCATACCCAAAGGCTACTTAGTGCCTCCACCAACTGGGAAGCTAGAGTATGAGTCAAAAAGCCCACATACACCTCCCTATATAGAGAATATCAGTCTTTAATAGGGCTACAAGGGAGAGTGTGGTCAAGGGGCTGTGGGCGAGCTTGGCCTTCGTCGGGAACATATTGTGCCCATGATTGGGAAAGCTGCTGAGTTCGCTAGATCAAAAAATTACATTAGAAAAGTCAAAAGTCTCATGAGTCGCTGCGGGCTTATTACGAATTCCATTGTTAACATGAATCGGCCATTGTCTTTTCGGGTTCCCCCACCCAGGTGGGAAATTACTTACTTAGACTATAGCGACCCTAATAAGACATACCCACTTATCCTTAAACGAAAAAGAGGAGCACACCAACTCTATGAAGAATTCCTGGCCTTGTTACAACAATACGCTTAAAATACCCGATTAATGCTGAATTGGGGCAAAGACTAAACCAAACGAGCTCTTTGCGCCCTACGATTGCAACTGTTATGCTTGTTAGGTGGTCCTACTCTTTGAGGAGTATGGGTCGATTTCGCTTGTTTCAAAGTGCACAGACTAGACAAACTAAACGGCACTCAAGCTTTAATCTACCTCATCCACCGCCCTGACGAAATTAAGTAATTCCAGATCAAGTTCGGATCCGTGGAACTACCAAGGAAGAATTGGGCTTGACTGCGCCAATAGCCATCCTCCACTAGATACATCATTCAGAAATCGGGCAGTAGATCGGTGCGCGCAAACATATCTTCTCGGACAGAGGGACCGGAAAGACTTCTACAGGCTTTCTTTTGCCCTTCTTTACCGCTTGGAACTAGATGTAATCGAACTTACACTTTCTGAAGGCAACCCAAAGAATAGACTGGTAGGACCCTATTCGCGCGCCTATGGACCAATGTAACCCAACCAGTAACTAGTGCCCCCAATGGACCTCTCCTATGTAACTCCAACTGAAAAGGGGGACGGAATAGAAATTTTAGATTATGGGCTTGATTGATCATACTTGATGACTGATTGATGGATACCTTTGTTATATAGTTCCGATGAACCCCACGGATGTCGTCTATAGGGGCTACCTGAAGCTATTCTCCGATCGGTACCTATACCCACTATTCATGAACATAGTCGATGTTAAGGTTACTATAGATGGAAATGCTTCCACCTCAGCCCTTCTTTTTTTCTTAGTAAAGCGCGTAGAAACCCTCTAACCTAGGTCTCCTGCACTCTTATTTGGTTTAGAATTGGGACAAGCCAAAACCTTCATTATTAGTAAGATAGGTTGCTTTCTTGTCTTTAGGAGTGAATTGCGTAGGCTGAGGGGCTACTAGCGGGATTCTTTGGATAGAAGAAGATCTTGGTAAGGTTTAGCAGGGGCTTGCCAGGTATTGAATGACCCTTGAAGTTGAGGTAGAGGCTGTAGGTATTGCTGAGACTGACCTAGCGGAAAGGGATCTTTTTCTGGTCTCACCTGAGAATGCTGTAGCGGCACTGGTTGAACCTGCTCTCGCGCCTGAGGCTCTTTGAAGTTGTTGCGGTTGAAGCTGAGTCTGCTGGACTTATTGCTGCTGAAACTGCGAATTCGCCTCTAGACCTGTCTGAGTGGAGGCCGTAGTCTGGTAGTGCTGAACTCTTGATGGTCTCTCTTTTATGAAAGGGATTGCTTTGTGACATGGGTTTACTCTTATTCTCGGATTTTCTTTGAGATTGTGGGCTAGTCTGAATCCTAGATGCAAGCTTCTTAGGTTGAGAAAGGGTGCTAGTCTCTTGTGCTTTCATCTTAACATTCATCAGTGAAGGCTCAAAGATGTCATACATGGGGGACTGCATCTCTCCTGAGTGCAGACCTTTACGTAGACGACTGTGTCAAAGTAGTAAGAAAGGCAGCAATAACGAGAGATGTCTCTCTCTCCCGGGCGCGTATTGCCGAAAAGAAGGTTTTGCTTCAGTTGTGCTACTCTAGACCTGCGGAAGACAGGTGCTGCATGCAAAGGCCTAAGTCCCGCGATGTGCAGAGAGTGTACACCAGTCTGTGCTCGTGCGTCTGGGTGATCCTCAGGTGGAGCCCAGGTGTCAGTGTCAAATGTGTGGCAGAAGCTAAATAGAAAAAAGAAAGGAATTTTGGCGCAAAAGGAAAGAAAGAGGGGGCGATCTCGATAAGCTAAGCAATTGACTCTTTGTTTGCGATTCTTTCAAGGAAGGCTCAGATCCAATATCGGTAGCGGAAGAATTAGACTTGTGTAAGCCTGAGGCCTGGACCATAAAGTCTAAAATTAAGTATAGGCCGGGGGCAGCAGCAGAAGATTGGACTGGAACCCGAGAAGGACAAAAACTAGATATCTTTTGTGGAAGTTACTTACGATCGGGCTTCACTAATCTGTAGCACCTGAACTCCTGAGCTTGCTTGGGTGAGTGGTGGGATGATAAATGGACTGGTCGACCCTCTCAAAATTTTCCTGTGAATCAAGCCCTTCTTTAAAGAGCCATTTCGGTAGGTTTTAAATTGAGTCATTAGAGGAAAGGAATAGCAGACCGCGGAAAGCAAGCTACTCTCTCTAAACTAAATGGAAAAAGAGCTTATCTTATAGCAGCTCTCTCAGGGAAGCTTCCTTCGGGATTAACCAATAGGGTAGAGGTGAATCAGCTTTATTTCCTTAGGAGGACGTTTTTCTTGATTTTTATTGAGGCTGCCTTCGCACAACCGGCACAGGGTATTCATAGCTGCTGGTCTCGACCGGTTCACTAGAATGGTTGGAGCAACAGGAGCTCCTACTCTCCCTAGAAGCTGATGTTGGTTGTTGGCTAGGCTAAACTTGAACCACCGGGCTTACCCATTTTTAGATCATGCCTCCGTAGTTTTTGGTATTGAAGCCTTCCATTTCTCTGCGACTTCTGGAACGGATGGGACTTTTCCCTCTCCAACTGGACTATAATAAAGGAGGGTCGGCCCGGCCTGTGATCGTAGTCCGATAGCTATTCCTGCCCCAACTTAACCAATGGGGTCCGGTAGTCAGGGGTAAGAATGAACAGAAGGCGACTAACCAATCTCTCTTTGAAACCAGATGCCCAGAGATGTTTTATTCGTAGGGCTAGGAGATCGGTGAAGAGGGCCGGACAACCAAGCTAAAAGTTCTTCCATTACGGCTACTCTGAAATTTTGCACTACCACCTTATCCATCCATTACTGGAGACGAAAGCAGCTATCCCTAATGCCTTGCCCCTCTCCCTCCAGTCGGGAGCTAAACCCGGGGAGTGAGAAGAGAAGGAAGGGAAGAATCGGCTAGGAAAAAATAAGATTTAATCATGTTAATGCTAAAAACTCAAATACCGGGTATTCTCCGACATTTTTAATATCTTATACTTGGTTCGAATCCAATTCCTGGTAAGGAAGGCAAAGATTCTAAAGAAATTCCTGGATGATGAACAAGAAGCACTGCAGCAGCAATAGCAAGTCACTTTGGAACGACCCGGCATCGAGGTCTCTACTCCCCAACCACACCACCTGGGGAAACCAAGCGAAAGAAGACAAGATCTAAGTCTCCCCTTCCGCCGCTGGACTAGAACGAAGGAACTCGAAAAGGGATCACCAACAGTAAAGTTATTTCGATCATCACTGTACGATAATAGTTGACTGGTATAACAACCCTTATCTGAAAGTAGTCTAAGTTGATGACTTTGTTATAGTAGTTAGACAGCGTATCTGTTAGATAATATCCTTATTGTTAGGACTTTTTGTTGAGCGAAGGGACCATGGGAATATGGGTCCCGAGCGGTTTCTCATTGCTTTATCTATTCTATTGGGAGTGAGGGAACGGATCGTTGGCCGTTGTCTTGTTTCCTGTGCTTGTTTTCCCGTGGTTTAACTTCAATAATTATATATTACTTTTTTTATTTAAGTATGTCACCGCTAAGAATAGCTACCAATGCAAACCTGTTTGTCTTATATTATAATAATCCAGTAGCAAGCAAGTTGAAAGAAAGGGAAGGGATTATTATCCAACCAGCAAGGCATACCACTTAACCAAGCTCTTTATGAGCGGTATCCATCTTCACCTTATTCAACTCTACTTAGCCTCTGGCTTGGGCGTGGTGAAGCAAGGTCTCGATCGACAGATCTAGTGGTCAGTCACCGTCCATATTTGATTCTACGGCCAATGCTGCTAAATTCAAATAGCAATTAAACCGGGAAGCCCTAGCCTTGAAACAAGGGGCTTTATTACTAATATAGAAATTTCAATCAGATAAAGATGCCTAGTCTGCGCTGTTAGAATCCATTGGAGAAAGGCTTGCTTACTTCTTCATCTGTGAGATGATCGTATTATATTATAAGTTAGAATAATGGGATTGGACCTTGCTTC